TATATATTTTTTTTTTATCTTTCTTACTTATTTATCCCAAACTTTTGAATAGTACTGTATCATGGTTTTCTCAAAATATTAAGCAACAATACTGTACAACATCAATAATAATAAGAAATGTTTCTTGAGCACCAAATCAGCATATTAGAAGGATTTCTGAAGAATCATATGACAATGACTGCAGTAATGACTGCTAAAAATTCAGCGTTGCTATAATGGGAATAATTTTAATATGTTAAAATCAGCCTGGTCTCATGTTTATACGTAGGTATTAATACGTAACATTTACAAGCACAAAACGTACACTTTTGTACGTTTTTATTAATGCTAAAACGTACAATTTAGACGTATTTCAATGTTTAAAACGTACAAATCGCTACGTATTTTTAGCTAAAAAACGTAAAAATATTTACGTATCTTTTATATCAAGATATTCATATCAATGCATTTTTATCATTTTATCAATAAGCGATTTAGATTTTTAGACCCCTTAACCTTATTTGTACGTTTAAATGCTGAAAATACGTAAGTATTTGTACGTTTAAATGCTGAAAATACGTAAGTATTTGTACGTTTAGATGCTGAAAATACGTCAGTATTGTACGTTTTAGTGCCTGTAAAAACGTAAGTGAATGTACGTTTTATAGTACCACATTTTACGTAAAATACATACAAATTATCATGAGATCACGTTGGTTAAAATATATTCAAATAGAAAACGGTTCTTTTAAATTGCAAACATATTTCACAGTATTACTGTATTTTACTGTATTTATGATCAAATAAAGAGACTTGTTCAAAAACAATTACAACTTTTGACTATTAGTGTATTTAAAAAAATATAATAAATATTGTGGATTTATTGAATGAGACATCAGAAGATGGTGATGACTGCATGCTTTCATTGTTTATTGACTGTCATCAAACTGTGTATTGAATTTCCTTCCAAGTCTCTCTATACGAAAAGCCACAAACACTATTTTTAGTACATGAGGTGATGTGTAAACCAAAGCAGTGAGCGTGTGAAATGTTTCTGTATATGTTGGGAACAGGAACCTGTCACAAACAGACTCGTCAAGAAGCTTATGCATGAGATGTGGTGTGGCTGTGCTCTGTGACTTCGGATGCATGTTGGCTTGACGAGGAATGGTGGATAAGAAAGGGATAGCCTATATGAAAAGAGGAAGTGAATGACAGAATAAAGATGTACAAGTGAAAAACAAAAGGGGGACATCTAGGTTAAAAGGCATGCATGGCTGCCCTCCAAAAAGCCAATAGTGCCAGTTTGCCCATTTTCACCCCAGCTCATGATTCAGAATTATGCTGTCAGCCTACTCTGGCATGATCTATTTTTATTCTCAATGTATCATCCCTACTCCTTTCCTCAGATGAAGAAAACACAGCCGTCCAAATATCTGTGGCCACAGGGCAAGCGCTGTGTTCTATGTTTGCCTCTTAAGCTCAAAACTCCCCGGAGATTCACGGCAGACATGTATCTAAAAGAGGCAGTCGGGCGGAACTGATATGACTGTGTCTTTTAGATTTAACACAAAGATCGTGACATGCATATTTCACTTAAATTAGTCAGAACCATGTCATTTTTTTCCTGTGGTGATGATACAGAAAGAAATGGAAAAATGTTTTTTTTTAAATTATTATTAATACAATTATTGAGAGCTCACATCATGTGGTTTATTTTGTTATTTTTCTTATTATTTATATTATTAATATTTTTTATAATATTAGAAATATTAATATTATTATTAATATCATAATATCAATATTTTGTTTTTATTATTAAAATTATCAATATTATTGAGAGCTAAAATCAAAAGAAATGGATGTTTTTTTTTTAAATTATTATTAATACAGTTATTGAGAGCTCAGATCATGTGGTTTATTTTGTTATTTTTCTTATTATTTATATTATTAATATTTTTTATAATATTAGAAATATTAATATTATTATTAATATCATAATATCAATATTTTGTTTTTATTATTAAAATTATCAATATTATTGAGAGCTAAAATCATATGGCTTAATTTATTATTTTTATTATTAAAATTATTATTATTATTGAAAGCTCAACTCATATGGCTTATTTTATTATTTTTCCTTATTACAAATTCTTAATATTTTGAGAGCATATGGCTTATTTTATTGTTGTTGTTGCTGCTGCTGTTTTTTATTTTTATTTAAATCATATCATTTTAGCTCAAATTATGTGGCTTATTGAAGAAAGCAACCAGGCATCTGAAGAATCCCAGACTTACATTAAAAAAAGGAGATCAGAGGGGACATGTTATTGATTCACTGCATGGTGATTTTGCATGTAGGAACGTGCAAATCAAGTATTTTGCAATTTAAAGAGGGAGAGATAAAATGAAAGTTTGCCTTTTATTCTCATTGTTCAAACGAGACATCACTGAACCGGACAAAACACGAGCGCTCTACCTTTTCTTTCTTTCCATGTGCTGCTGAACGCTGCACTGGCTCTGCATCACAAGTGTTTTGCTAAGTGACAGGTTCTGTAATAATATTTAAAGTGGACTATATGTCACATATGTTATATCACATAAAAATGCTCCAAACGCATCAAAATAACCGAATGCAAGAGCAAAACAGGCAACGTGTTGTATGGTAACCAACACGAAAAAAAAGAGAGAGAGAGACAAAAGTTGTGAAAAAACAACTGTATTATGTCGCGAAAATCTTAACTTGAGGAAAACTTTGCTCCAGGTTAATGTTGGAAACAGTTTTGCGAGTATTAGGGCACGTTTGTCCATTTATGTAGTGTAGGGGAAGGAAAGGAGACACGAGACAGGAAGGTATAGGCTATTCCCATTCCACAAGGGAGATCCGAGCAGCAACTATTGCGCACGATGTATAACCAATGTAAAAAACAGACACCACATGCTTAGCTAAAATTGTCAAATGTTTTTGTTCTGAGATCATGTTCTTATGTCAAAACTGTTTTGTCCACTGGGACGCTGGACTGGTCAACACCGCAGTTTGGTACCTTGGAGAGCGAAAGCTGTCTGACGAGAACGACAAGCACAGCTATATGCATATATGAGTTTAGAAATCCTCTACAAACTGAATTATACAGATTTGTCGTGCCATTCTGGAAACAGTTTTGCGAGTATTAGGGCACGTTTGTCCATTTATGTAGTGTAGGGGAAGGAAAGGAGACACGAGACAGGAAGGTATAGGCTATTCCCATTCCACAAGAGAGATCCGAGCAGCAACTATTGCGCACGATGTATAACCAATGTAAAAAACAGACACCACATGCTTAGCTAAAATTGTCAAATGTTTTTGTTCTGAGATCATGTTCTTATGTCAAAACTGTTTTGTCCACTGGGACGCTGGACTGGTCAACACCGCAGTTTGGTACCTTGGAGAGCGAAAGCTGTCTGACGAGAACGACAAGCACAGCTATATGCATATATGAGTTTAGAAATCCTCTACAAACTGAATTATACAGATTTGTCGTGCCATTATCTGATGTAACACTTATAAAGAGTAGACAAAAGATACAAGTTGATGAGAATGACCCCAGTCTCCATCAGTGCGTGCGTAGAAGGAGATATCACTCAATTATTGTTGACAAGACATAATTGATACGAGACTATGGTTAAATGAATGAATATATTATGATGTGTAAGCAAACGCATTTCATTTAAATACCATGTCGAGTGGGGCTGAAATTGGGAAAATGTAGGGCCTCTAATCACATTCTAGATAGATCATAATGAGGGTTTACCTCCAAAAAGTTGGCATGTCCCATCTGTTTGTCTGCACATAAAAAGCCTTCGACTATTCCTCCAACTTGTTCAGAATAAGTTCGGTGTATTCATTCTTTCAACAGGCAATATCTGCTTGAACAATGACACAAAAGAAGTTTGCTCCAGTGGAAGAGAGGTGCCCGAAAAAAAGCAACAAGCATCCATAAATTCACAGCGGATCCTGTTAATGTGTGTCTGTTCTGTCACTTCTCATAATGTTACTCTGTTTCCCAAATGTTTATTACTTAATCCAGCCCGCAAGTCGTAAATGGTTGTCCAGTTTTCCGGATAAAAAGTCCTGAAGTGGTGTGTGAAGGCTCCAGGGAGAGAGAGAGAACGCGCAGTTGTTTAACCCATTCAGAGCCGATTATAAAAAATAATTATAATATATTATATGTGAATAAATTCTTTATATATTTAGTTC